CCTCCCTTCCATCCCCTGCGGTATCACCTCCCCACAACCAGGTCACCCCTTAGCAGCTGATCAGAGGTGGGGATGAGGGAGGTGATATTTAATAATCCCCTTTGGCAGAGCAAGAAAAAGGTGGAAAAAACCACAGACTGCGGAGATGCCTGGCTCAGCCAGCTATCAGACTCAGGGCAGGACTGGTTCATCAGCCCCACAGGGTGGATGCAGGAAGCGAGGCATCAGGAGATGGAGCCACCCAGGGTGGTGGGTTCACCCTGCTCCCTCCTTCTTTCAGAGCTGGGTGCAAGTGAAAAATCCTTCCCCTGGCCCAACCAACCACCCTGACAAGCCCCATCAGGCCTGACAGGGTCTGCATCAAACTGGGAGCCAGACCCCATCCCATCCCCTCGATCCCAGCTGCTCTCCTGGATTAGTCCCAGCCCCAAAGAAATGCTGCATCCTGCCCCAGACCAAGCCCTGAATCCCTCACCTCCCAGGCCTGAGCACCTCCAGGAGCAGGATGCGGCCATTTGAGGAGAAGGACGCGGGCAGGAACGGAGCAGCACAGCCGCTGTGCTTGTTCCAGCAGCTGGGGAGTGGTTTGCAGCAGTGCAGCACAAACACACACTGAGCTCTTCCCTCGCCTGGCTCGTCCCAGAAACAGCCGCTGTCTGTCCCCAGAGACCTTCACCTGCGCCTTGCTTCACCCCGCATCGAGCTGCTTGGGCTGACCCGTGACTGGTGGAGAGCAACGGAGAGCAAAGATCCAAACTCTTTTTTCCCTCCTCCTGGGAGTTTTTACCTGTAGCTCCATCTCAGCACATCCCAGGGGATCTCAGTGCCAATGTCAGGCACACAAGTGCCTCTGTGTCTGTCCTTAGAGGTCCCTGAAGTCAGGCTGCCCCTGGAGATGTTGTAGGGATACCCACTGCCCTGTACACGGCACAAACCCACCCTTCAGTGTCCTGTGAGCACCCCTGACCTGAAAGAAACCCAAAATGTCTGGCAGAGGGAGCATGTTTCCCTATCCTGGACCCTGGGCACAGCTGGGTTTTTCTCTTTGGATCCCCTGGCCATCACCCCGTCGGGCATTTCCATGGGCTCTTCTGCATCTTGTCTGCAGGTGGGATGTCTCTGGCAGCAGTTCAGCCCCCAGTAGAGCCAAACTGGTGGAGAGGGAAAATCAGGTCTCAAGGCTGGGAAGGGTCACTCGAAGGACTAAAGCAGCTGATAAAAAAGTTCCCACCCCAGCAGTTCAGCTGGAAACGATCATCCACATGAAGACAAACGAGTTGGGACAAGCCACCCTCCCCTCCCTCATGCCCCCCAACCCTCCAAGCTCCCCACATCAGGGGGTTTCACTGCACTTTAAGGACAGAGCAAGCCCCAAGGTATCTGAAACGCTGCTGGAGAGAAGAGCTTGGATGCCATCCCTCGCCCTCCCCGCTGAGCTCCCAGCCAGCCGCCCGTGGGGCCGCCTCTCCCCTGCCTCGGTGCGAGAGGCCGCTGATGCTCGGCCCCTCTGGAGCCCTCTCCCATCGGGAAGAGCCGGGCTGCCCCACTATAGCTGGCACGAACCAAGGCATCTCCTGCCATTAGCCCCCCGAGGCTGATTATTCTTCTCTTCCCATCCAACAGCACAGACCCAGCCCAGCTGCAACGGGGCCAGGAGGAGGAATGGGGCTCGGGAGAGCTTTGAGGAGTGTTTCTGCCTGAGCAGCATCTGCTGGGCTGAGCTGGGTGGGTCCAACGTGGCCACGCTGTCCCGTCCCGCTCACACCAGGGATGCGGGCTCATGCCCTGAGCATCCTGCTCTGAGGCAGGATTTGCTGCAGCTTTGCAAGATGTTGGGAGTGGTACATTTTTCAGCCAGCTCAGGGTTTGCTGCAGCTTTGCAAGGAGCTGGGAGAGTGGGATTTTCCTCCTCAAGTCCCCTTACCTGGACAAGGGTGACACAGGAGATGGCTCTGCCGAGGGGAGACGTGCCGGCCAGGCAGTGTGATGGGTCACCCCCTGCCAGAGCGGTCTGGCTTTTTTACCTGATCAGTCCTCCCATGTTTCTGGTTTCTCCTTTTCCCCAGTGCTCAGAGCTCTCTGTGCTGGCTGGCTGCAAAGTGGGGGTTCCCCTGTTGTGCCCCACGCCTTCCCCTGAGGCTCCGGCACTGCCTGGAGCCAAGCAAAGCCGAGGCAGCGCTGACATCCAGCAACACTTGATAGGATCAGGGAAGGATTTACTCAGGCCTCAGCAAACAGGACTTTCCTCCCCACTCAACAGCACTCAGAGCTTTAGCCGCAGCACAGCCTGATCCCAGCTGGGATCCCCCGGGGCATACCCACACAAGAGCACCCTGAAACCAGCTGTCCAGGGGCCTCCTGGGGCATCTTCCAGTGGAAACACCCACCCAGCCCCGCCTTTACATGGGAAACCATCCAAGCAGCAACCTCCTGTCGATCCCCATCCCGTCTCCCCCCAGCAGCATCCCCATGGATGTCGGCACACGGAGCTGCTGCCAAGACAGCAGCACGCTCCATTGTCCGGGTCAGGCTTTAATCGCTGCCACCCGAGAGGAGGTTTGGACACTCAACAAAACTGGCAAAGCCAAAGAGACCCCGGAGGAGGTGAAGAGACAAACAACTGGAGAAATCAACCCCCAAAAAAACAATGCATCTTTTTGAGGCTGGGATAAAGCCCATCGACCCCGCTGCAGGGCTCGACCTCGGCTGAATGACACGGCCACCGCTGCTGAGAAAGGGACCGCGGAGGAATGCAGCCGCGCGGGCATCCCCTGGGAAGTGGGGGGACACGGGGCGATGTTCGTCTTTGGGAGAGGGGATTGCAGAGCCTGTGGCCTTTCAAGCCACAGCCCCATCAGAGGTGAGAGCTTGTGGTTCCATTTCAGCTGCACCACCTGGAAATTTTACATCTGGGCAGAGCTGAGGAGGCTGAGCACAACCCAGGAGCTGGGGAGGGGGCTGCGAATCAAGGGGAGGGTTGGGGGATGCAGAAGAAGCCCGAATAAAATCAGAACCATTCAACCAGGCTGATTTTAGGGATATTTTAACCCTCCCTTCTCTTTGTTGCTTAGAATATCCAGCCCCTTCAAGAAGACGCTCAAAGCTGGAGCCAAGGGCACACAGAACACGCAGCACCATCTCTCTACAGCTGGGGATGGGGAAGATCAGATGGAACCAGCAGGTCCCATCCCCCACCGTGCTTTTTCCTCCCCACCTTTGCAGATGTCTCCTCACCTGAACACCTGAGCTCAGCAGAAGAGGCTTTGGGTTTGCACTGTGCACCTCCGTTTCAGGTGGAAATAGGGGCAGGGGGTACAGGTGGGGGTCCTGCTTTGGGGAAGGGTTGGGAAATCCTGGAGGGAATAAGTCAGCAAAAACAAGAATAAGAGGAGTCAGGAGAGAGGATGAGGAAAGGGAAGAGCGAGGAGGCGGCAGTGGCAGGGAGACAGACTGCACCGACCATCTGCTGCGGGTGCTTTTAATTGCTTGGGCTTGTTTCAGCTCCGCTGCCTCGGCTTTGCTGCAAGAGCTGCCAGTGATGGGAGCCAGTCCCCAGCACCAGCCCGGACTGCAGGAGACACTCGGGGACGGGGCAGGATGAGACCCAGCCCTGGAGCAGCCCAGGTGCGATGGAGGGAAAGAAAGGAGCTGGGCTTTGCAGGGCTGAGCTGGGGAAAGCAGCATCCATGCCAAGGATGGGACCAGCCAGGGCTCCATCACCAAACCACCCACTGGGCCAGGGGCCTCCAGCAACCAGCTCCAGCAGAGCCACACTGGAGCAGGGGAAGGAAAAGCTGCTCAGAGCAGCCACAGATGCTTCACACGACCAGGCAGATGCCCCAGTCCCTCACAGCTTTTTAAAGATGCCTCAAACCAAGCGCTCGAGCTTGAGAAAGGGACACGCACCTGGAGCTGCTGAGCTCTGCTCCAGACTATAATTATCCCCCCTCTCCCCCAGCAGCTCCTTCTGCACCATCTGCACCTCCTGACACCTCCCTCGCTCTTTCCATCACTGCCCTCCTGCCTGTTGCCCCCCCCAAACCCCTCACCCAGGGGTCCCCATTCCTGCAGTGCTGTTTTCCCCACACCCCCAAACCACCTACCCCAACCTGATGCCAACTGGCAGGAGCAGGCACAAAAATCACCAGCCATAAATTTGGGCACCCGCTGCCCTCCTCAGTGGGGGATCCCTCTCGCTGGAGCCCCCAAGGCCCCCACCACGCTGCAACCACTCTGGGTGGCTTTGGGGGTCCCCACCATCACAGGGGCCTATGAGGTCTTTGTCTCAGCCCTACTGTAACACAAAGAAAAACAACAACCTCCTGTGCTCCCCACAGCCCTTTTATCCCCCATTTGGAGGGTCAGCATGGGAGGGAAAACCTAGCTGTTAATTATCCCTTCATCACATATGCAAAAAGCCAGCTGCCCATTGGCTGAACCACATGAATCTACTCATATGATGCAGCATCCAGTCTCCCATTGGCTTAGTGGCCAGCAGTGATTTATGGGCTGGGTATCACCTGCCCTTTGGGGGATCCCCAGTCTCCCAAAAGGCCCCAAATCCCTCACTGGGCTGGTCTGGATCTGCCCCCTGCCACCACGGATCCCATTAACCGGGACCTGTTAATTATTTGCACACAGCAGGGACAGCCCCAGCAGAGAAAGGCGGAGATGCTGCACCACAACCTGCACGTCTCTGTGGACTCCATGAAAAACCAGCAGGAGCTGCGGATCCTGGCACCGGATCAGAGGGATCCCATACTGGGAGCACTGGGAATGCTGAGCTCTCCGTGTTGTCTCAAAACAGAGGTCACCTGTACCCTGCAAAACTGTTGGGGTTTAGGATACAGAGGGGAAAAGGCATCTGGACTCCCCATGTCAGAGGTGTGTGCTGGGGGGGGGGGGGGGGGGGGGGGGGATCAGGGGGGTCCCATCAGGAAAGTGAGGGGCTCGGCCAAGTGCTGGAGCTGTGCACCCCCCACCTGAGTGTTTACAAACAGGATTAGTGCTGCCAGCAGATTAAATGTGTTGTGCCTGGGGTTTAATTTCCTTCCTTGGGAAAGTTTGATCTTGAAATCCAAGGCTACAGGGAGAGGGAGCTGCAGTGTCCAAGCGCTGGGTGTGATGAGTTTGTCAGGCCTCTGCTGATACTCGGTTGCTGAGGCTGCTCACCAAACCTCCGTGGGTGAAACCATCCCGGTAAAGCCAAAATCTGGAGATGGACCTGGGGGCACCGGCAGAGCTGAGAGGCCGAGAGCAGTGGAGGGGATCTGGGAGCAGAATCAATGTCTTGTGTCTGGGGAAGAGCCAGCAGGTCCCCACCGGACCCTGAGCCCAGACAGCTCCTTTCCAAAAACCTGCCCCAAAGCGACAGCCCAGGCACAACTGGGAAGATACATCCAAAGCGATCGCTCACCAAGCGGCTTAATGCAATCCGCTTAGAGCAGCAACAAGAAAACACCACGGCTGAAAGAAATCAGATCCTTAATCTTGGAGAAAATCCTGCTCTGAGCCCAGCTCTCTGCTCCCTGCCCCAGCCACCCCTTGGGACTTCACCCCTCTCTTTTCCAGCATCCCAGGAGGGTTTATCCATGTAGATGACAGGGAGCAGGGTCGGCTGGGGACGGGCCAAGCCCTGGGGACATCTGTCTGCAAACACATGGGAGCAGAGAGGGGAAGGAGAGCCCATGGGAGAGGTTTCTGGCCCCGACATGGGGAATCTCACAGGTAAGGTGGCAGGTGACGTGTGGGGTTGGGGGGAGAGGCTGATATCTGGGGATAAACCCTGAGGATCAGGGATTTGAGCATTAAAAGGGGAAAAAACAGGGTGATTGGAAAGGGGTGGCTTCAGCTGAGCAGGATGCGGCCGAGGCACCGTACTGCAAACACAGGGTCCCCTCCCCGAGAGGGACAGCGACTCTACTCCTGATTTACCGCAGGACCAGCCAGGAAGGGATCCCATGAGCAGCCGTGCTGGCAGAGCGAGCCAGCCCCTCTTCCCATCTCATTTCAGCAGGTAATTGCCTCTCCCAATTACACAATTAGCGTAAGCAAAGGTAATTACAGAACAGAGGCGTATAATCATCCAGCGACTGCCGTGATTTCGGGTGGCAAACTGAGGAGCGAGACATGTTTGGGGAGATGATGCTGGCAGGGAAATCACCTCCAAAAAGCGGGGGACGGGGACAACACGGCAGCCTCGCACACATTTACACACACGTGTGTGCTAACAGCCCCTCTGGTCACATTAACAGCTTGGTGGAAGGATGAATTACGGAGCCAGGCAGCCTCCAAGCAATTTGGGATTGCGGTGGGTTAATTATATTAACGCACACAGGTCCTCTGCCCCATTTCTTCCTTTTTCTTCCAGTGCAGGGCTTGGAGCATTTTTTTTTGCTTTATAATCGCCTGGAGGGAGGCATTAATGGTCGAGCAAGGGTAAATTGCAGGGCCGGGCAGCTGCTAGTAGTTTAGGATTGCAACGTGTTAATTATGTTAAAGGCACTAAATAATTTCACTGCGTTGATGAGGGAAGGGAGGGAGGAGGTGGTGGAGAGATGCTCCAGGAGGCTGTGACGTGTCCAAGGTGCCGGAGGAAATTGGGTACCTACAGCCGGGGATGCGCAGGCACCTTGTTCCCATCAGCTTCTTCGGAAAAAGCATTTTAAAATATAATAGCCTGATCTAGAGGTGTTTAGAGCCTGAGCATGTTTGGGCAGGGCTGGAGAAGCCATTTCCCCGCCAATGATGCCAGGCTGACACGGGCAGGTGCCTGTGCTGGGTTGCCCGGGGGAGGACAGTGGGGAAACACTCTGTCCTTGCAGGGGAGAAATCAGCCGCGATGGAGAACCCTCCTTTCCACCGGGGAGACGGCTCAGCTCCACGGCCAGACCCCCCGAGGCCGCCCCTCTCCGGGGGGAGCGGGCAGGACCCGCCGCCCGCGGCTGGGCTCACCCGGGGCCGGTGTCACCGACCTTCCCTCTGAGGGATCCCGTTGTCACTAGATGGCAGTGGAGCATCTCCGTGAGGCTCTGGGGGAGCCCGGAGCCTCGGAAAATCCCCCCACCGAGGCTCTCCCATCCCCACCGGGCAGACCCCGGAGTGATGCCCGGAGCCATCCTACCCCTGTGCTGGTCCAAAGGGATCCTGGGTTGGATCTCGGCAAAGCCAAGCTGCGAGGCACCGGCGTTGCCCTGGATACAGCCCATTTTCTGGCTGAGACTTTATTTGGGTGGAGAAAAATGAGGATCTTGGCTCCTTAGCAGAGATTTCTTCTGCAACAGTCTCAGTTTTGGACTCACGTGCGCTACCCACGTTTCTGCCTGACAGAGCCCGGGCGCGAGGGTGATGCAGATCCCAAATTCTCCACTCGGACCCGGTGCTGCAAATAAACCCCCAGTCCTTGTGCAGACCCCCGGCTGTCCCCTCGTAATGGGGACAGGGCCAGTGCTTATCCAAGCTATAAAACACGGAGGCAAGACAAGCCCTAGGGAGGGGGCTGCCATCCCCATCCTGGGCTCCCATCTTTGGGCTCTTCAGCCCAGGCTCAACCCCGTGAGAACAACCAGCCTTCAGGAATTAAACTGCCCGGCTGGGCTGGCAGCAGAGCAGCCGATGCCAGCGCTCCCAAACGAGGATTCCTCAAGAAAATCAGTTTAGTTCAATCACTGCAGCGGTTGGCACATGGCTACAAAGCAATCTAGATAGCAGCTCCATTAAATCAGTGTAATTTCTGGGCATACATCAGCTCTGATTTTACAGCCCTTCACACAGAGCGTTTCATCTATAGCAGAGTGGGCTTTTGGGGGGAGATGTCTGGTTTTCCTGACTCCACATCGCACCTTCCCTCTGCCCTCCAGGACTGGCAGCTGGGATGGGGCAGTCCTGAAGCTGAACCCATTCCTGCTTGGGAAAGGGATTGTAAAACCTGGGGATGGTCCCTCTCTAACATGGTCAGACCTGGGACGTGCAGCTTCAGGCTGAAACACCTGATCAGAATGCACAGGAACACCTGAAAAGGGAGAAATTTACCCCAAATTCAAGGCTAGCTGGGAGGACAAAGCCAGCAGAGCAGATGGGGAACACCACAGCAGCGGGGTGCAGGGATGGGGTGAGGTCAGGGAATGGGTGTATCCTGAGCCGGGTTGATAAGGATGGGGATAAATAAGCCAGAATTGCTCCGCTCCTCTGGCCCGTGCTCTGTGGAGAGCATCGAGGTGCAGGGTTGCTGTGATCAAAGACACCCCCTCCGTGCCCAGCAAAACCAGTATCCCACGAGAACCTTCATCTGACAGTACCCACCACCTGCCCAGTATGGGCTCCCAGACCAGCTTGAGAGAGAGATTTTAGGGTTTCTCCCTCCTTTTGGGCATGGCCAGGCCAGACTCCAAATGAGGGGAGGTGCAGAGGGGCAGGAATACCAGAGGGAGCCTTGTTCTGCAACCCCTGACTCCAACCTCACCAGAGAGCAGGTAGGGTCCACGAGTCCCTTGGACTGCCGTGACCACAGTAAAGCCTAAAAAAAAGGGATGAAATTAAATCACGATGAACACTCAGTTATTTATTGAGTGCTTCAGTGGGCACAGGTTTGCCTGACAGCTTTTAACCATGCAAGAACTGACACAACTGGCAGAAATCAGGGCAATACAGTCCAGCTGTGATGCTGGAGAGTGGCACTAAGACCACATCCATCCTCCAAAGGGATTTCTTTCTTTGGCAGCACGAAGGAGGGAAAGCAGCAAGATCTGCTCATTCTCAGCTGCATTTCCACAGTCCCCCAGGACCTGCATTCCCTGATATCGGGGCATCGGATTTCCACGGCTGAGGATCAGCCTCTTATCACCAGGGTCTGCAGGAAATTGGGGCTGATGGGAGGCCCTGGGAGCCAGGACGGGGTTTGGAGGTTGATGCCTTCATCTCAAAGGTACCCGTTGTCCCAGTTGCTGCTGGGACTGGCACAGAGCCCAGGTCCCTTTGGGGCACCAACCCTACAGGCTGGGTAAAACATACCGGGGTGCACCCCAAGGGGGCATTTGGGATTTACCCTGAGGATTGCTTGTTTGGGGAGGGCACAGCACTCGCCTCCTGCCTTCTTGCATCACCACGCAGGTCCTGGGATGGGTACGTGAAATAGGGTAGTGGGGAGAACGTGAGCCTGCGCTGGGCTCTGTAGCCAGCGTGTCAAGGAGCCCTCCTCACCCTCCTCCTCCTCCTCCTCTTCTGCAGGCTGCTATGGCGGGAGAATGAAGGAAAGATGTTTGCAGTGAGCCTCCAAGAAAACAACCCCCAAGGGCCCCACCCCATGTCCTGTCACCCCTCAGGAGCTGGTGTAGCCCTCAACCTCTGTCCTCAGGCAAGAAGGAAACAGGAGATGGCGGCTATTGAACCTGCTGTCAATCACCCTGCCTCTGGACAGCTGATGACAGTGACTGACAGCAGCTTGAGGCAGGGATGAACCCCCCCTTCTGGGGTCTTCCCTCCCTCCCAGCCCCTCCAGCTCCTCGGAGGAGAGCTTCCCCATGCCGGACCCGTCTGCTCTGTATTTATTAAAACAACAAACACGGGCTGTGCCTCCAGGTGCCCTCGCGCATTCCTGCGGGGCCGGCAGAAGCCAGAGCTGGCAGCAGGCGCCTCGGAAAACAGCATCATCCCAAACCCAGCTGTCCCGTGTCCCACCGAGCCACCCCATGGGATGGGGGCTCCCCGTGCGAGGGGG